TACTTATTAGATATTGAACAAAATGTTCTTAAGTCAGAATTTATGGTAGCCAAAAACTGTTGTAAACGTTATAAGTTTGATTCCAGTGAACAGGTTTTGACCCAGCTTATGAAGTGACCGGTTTGTTGGAATTTTAGGCCTAAAAGTCTGCATAATTACACCAACTCAGGATGGTTAGATTTAAATTCTGAAAAAATATTTGAATTAATCGGCCACTTTTCTAGGTTAATGTAGAAATCGACTAATGATATTTCATTTAATATTGTGTTTAAATCCTATTTTATTTGCTCAAATTTGTCTTTGTGATGTAAATGAAACAGTCATTCAACAATCGACTTCCATAATATAACATGCATACATGCCTTCAAGGTAGTCGTTGAGCAATTGATATTTCCTAATTTGTATAAAATGCCTAATTTAGCATGTATGTTATATCACAATATTAATATAATCCACATTATTATCAAAACATTTATATTCATTTATAAATATTCCATAAGAGAAGGAATGTATTCTGTAAGTATAAAAATATAATTTTTTTTTATACATTTATAAAACTAATATCGGAATACTGACAATTGCCCTACAATTTTAATACTCAAGTAAAAAATGCATGGACCCAAAATATAATAATAATCAAAACCGTTTTAACATTGGAGACTTCAAATAATATAACTAGGTCGATGATAAAAGATGTTGTTTTTGTTTTCGAATATTTTCTTATTTAGGACATAGGTGTATGACTGTAACTGTTTGAACAAGCATACAAAACAACAAACCAAGACAAGTAGTCTTCTTATTTAAAATAAATAATACAAAGAAAATAATATTAAGAAAGTGAATATACAATTATTCAGAAAAGTAATGCTAAAGGTTTTAAATTTTGAATTTAAAAATAATATAGTAACATTATTCATGACCGGATGTAGACATTTTTAGGTGTTCTAAGAACAATTGTAGGAATATGGATAATAATAAAATATAATACAATACAAAAAAAATATATGTATTCATAATAATTTATAATTTGTTTTATTATTATATAAATAATAGTATATTATAAATGTATTTAAAATGTTTTAATTTCTGTAAATTCTGCCTAAGGTATACAACACATTTGTGTCTATATCGAGTATGTTTAACACAATGAAACTCCAAGGTCTTTTATATACTAACGCATTTAATAGTATGAAAAACATCTACACCATAAAGGAGCTTTTTTAAGTGTATTTTAATGGCTCATATTTTTTTCATACCGATACGAATTTAAGGTAAATAAAACGCAAAAAAAAAATATTACTTACCGTGTAATGTTAACGCATTTATAACGTACAACGAAAATTCAGGTCATAATATAAAACTTTACATTATATGGTTTCGAAACCCATATTTGGGCCTCAAAGAGCAATCCAGTGATCACAGATAAAAATACAAATATCGATAAGAGCATTGTACCTAATAACAATTATGTGCTTGAAAATGAATGTTTAGTTTAAGGGTGGATATGATTAGGGTTGCATTTGTTACATTTTTGTTCTAAATGTGGTATTCACTTTTTGTAATCTCTGGTGGAACCAGTTGACATTGACCATTTAATAAAACATTTCAATTAAACAATTTTTAGTTGTTGGGTAAAACTTCTCTTCTATATTGGAATCTATATAATGTAAAAGTGACTAAAGAATTAAATGCTCTCAGTTTGTTGTGCATTCACTGATTACATACTTAACATACTACAATACATTTAAATGACAATTACACATAGGGCTTTACACATTAAAGGACTTGCTTCCACAAGGAGTTGAACAAAAGTAAAAAAGAAAGCAGAGTTTAAACATTATGTTATCTTTATAAATTAGTCGCAAATATAAAATAGGTTTATTTATTATCCACAAATTACAAAGTAATAAATATTTACAACGTGCATTATTTTTTGCAAGCTTTAGAGGAACTACACTCATCGATTAATATGTCATCATACTCTACACTTTTTGTAATGTGCGATTCAATATTTAATACAGCGATACTGTTTATTTAATGCACTAAATGATCGCTCTGAAGAGCAGTTTGATACGGGACAACATAGATACATTCTCAGAGCAATATTTACATAAGGGTTTGAAGGGTCTTCAAATCCTTCATTTTTAATTGTTAGACACATCTCAATAATTGATTCACTAACAGAAGAATATGTACAAATCTGATGGCGCCTCTAAAAAATTGTCACTCAGAGCGACCGCCCCCCCTACCATTAAATACTTCACTGTCGTCTCTCTATATAAATGTATTGCTATTATAACCTATATATCGTTGTTAACAATATAATAAAATATTTTCAATGTCTATTTACTCACTCACACATAGCAACTTAGAAATTGACTACGATCAAAGTGTAATTTTTCCCTTTTTTGGGGGGATTTTCCTTAATAAAAAATAATTTTGATCACAGATTTTTTTGAGAAAATTGTATATGTTATAGTTCCATTCTAGATAATATACCTTAGGTCTAATTTTCCCGACCTAAATCCCTAAAACTTTGCTTTGAAATGTGAAATAAAGAAAAAAATTCTAGCTTTTCTATTGGAAACGGTTTAATTCCACACAAATTTGGAATTAGTTTGACTTGGTAGTTGTTAAATCTAAAAAATTGCCCCAACCAAATTTTTTTAAACTTTCAGCATTTTACCCAGGAGGAGGGAGGGTTGTGGAAATTTCGGGGTTTTCCTTGTGCGATTTTGTTGGTGAAACTTTTTAAATAGAAAATGCTAAGGTTATAAGATATCGAAAATATTTTCGAAAAAAATACACTTTTGCACACATGAGAATGTTTTAGTCATTATTTTTGCCATCAATAAATTTTCATACATTTAAGTAGAAAATACGTCGATCGAACGACAAAAACAATATATAAAATTGTCAATGTTCGAATTTCTCATTTTTTTTGGGCACAATTTAGTGTTACTTTTTACTTCGAAAATTCGAAAATGGCTATCGACGGATATTCTCAAAGGATAAATCCGTTACAATTTGGGTCGGGACTCGAGTTGGGCGAGCTGATTGATAAATTAACTTTTTAAAAAATTAATTAAAACCTTAAACTGGTACTTGAGAGTTCAAAACTTACTGGGGCCATTCTAAGGAGTATCCATAAAAATATTGGAAAGATTTGATAACTTTTTTTTTTAAGATTTAACATGTTATGTGTAAAAAAGAGTTCTACTCCAGACAAATTTTCACTAAAAGGTTCTAAAAACACAAAAAACCACTTGCGTCCCGCCGCAAGGGCAGGATTTAAATTTAACTCTCAAATAAATATTCCTCTCTAGAAATTTCAACTCGATTCGACCATTTTTCTTGAAATTATAGCCAGTAAAAGTTGAAACTCAAAAACTAGTATGGTATTTTTTTAAATTTTAACTGTAAAGAAGTGAGTTTTTTCAATTTTTACTCCCTTAAAGTTGCCAACTAGATAACATTTGCAATTTATAGAGTTGCTACTTGAAGGAATTGATCCAGTATTAAAAAAGTTACAATGCATATACAGACACAAAAAAAACCAAAATCATAATGCAAATATCTTTCAGATACCAGCTGTTGACCCTTACTCATTGCAATCTACAAACTTACAACCATAAAAACGAAATTCCCCCCTAAATTCTAATAAAAGACAGCCTTTTTTTAAATTAGTCAAAACTTGACTATAGCTTTAATCTCGAAAGTCTTTTAATATGCTTCTAATCGCCAGTAGTTAGAACCACGTGTCTTAAGAATTTACTAAGTAATGCTAATATTTAAGTAATGTTTTTGCGGTTTTATAATCAAACAAACCAAATACTGTTACTTTTAAAATGTCCATAGTGTTTAAAAAATGTACTTAAATAGCAACAATTGTGATAAAAATAAATTAGGATTAGAAGAAAGAAACCCGGAAGAATTTAGAACAATAGCATTATTCCAGTCACTAAAACTCATTCACAGTGCAAACTAATCAAAAAAAACAATTCCTGGTTGATAAAATCACTTTGGGAAAAAATGCATAAAATTGTTAATGTGATAATATTACCGCCGATAGTACATTTTATATATTAAAAATATATGTAGATATCGATAAATGCACTGTAAAGACAATGCAATTAAAATTAACCTATAACTATTGTACATAATTAGTAGGAATCATGATGCACCCTTGTAACAAGACTGCCACAACTCAAGTTCTAAGGAAATACAACTTAAAGATTCAACCTGCTCCCAAATGGTTAATTTTAACTTTGAAAGCTTTAATTTTAATACTTTTCAATTATTTTTTTGTTACCCGGTGCTTGTTATTTTAATTTCAAGCTACTTAGTTAAATCTCAGCCAGACACCACAATTTGAGGTTAAGGCTATTTAGCAATAGGGTTTAACGAACCAAACTACCAAATTTGTTTGTGGTGCCAGTTTACCATTTTAAATATTTTATAAGCCGTCATAAGAAATTTGGCAATTTTGTTTTTTTTTTTAGGTTATTAATATATTGCTACAAGACAAACAGTGGCTGTTTGTTATAACTTCACCAGTGTCATCTGGTTAAGAATTATTATCAAGTTGAAAGTTAAAGCGCCTCAAATCGATTCAAATTGGATTAATTCAATTTTAAGGATTTTAAGGAGGGGTGATTTTGCAATATCTTATAGCAATTTGTATGATTAATAAATATAAGCATTTATGGTAAACTGTTTTTTGTTTTTTAGCAAAATAGAATTTAATTGGTCTTTGAAGTCATTTCTAAGCACATTAAACATAAAATAACAACTACACCAACAATTTTTGCGCCAAATTTGTATTTATTTACAAAAAACATCATTTTTACGTCATAAGTTAAATGAAATATATCTTCTTCTTTTTTTTGCTGTACGTTTCAAATCGTATTTGCATTTAAAAATAAATAACCGCTGTAACAGACATGCTTATGCATGTGTGAAATTCGCTATAAAACACCAAAATATATTAGACGAGTATCACAATTTTTTGGTCTTACTTATTTGAAAGAGTAGAAAGTCATATTTTACAGCAACATGCACATCAAGATCAATGTTTTCCTATGTTCAATAATATGTATCCAACAGACATTGACAACATGGTCTGAAAAATTGTCAGAAGTATTTGGAGATGAGGTACCTATTTTTTTTTTAAATTAAAGCTATTGATATATTTTGGTTTATGTTGCTAACATAATTATTCAGTTTTTGTTGAAACACTAATAACGTATTTTCGTAAAAGGTAAATACGTATTTTCTATAAAGCACAAGATTAATGATATTTTTTTTTTTTGTGATTATTCCAACAGACAGCTCCAACTACCGCGCAGGTAATATTTTTTTTTTTTGCAACTGTCTAAAATTTACTAAAATAATTATCAGTTTTTTGTAACACTAATAAATACCATTTATGATATTTTTATAAGTAAAAAAAAATTTTTTTAAATACTTATGATAAAAAAAATGTATGTTTAAACATTTTCACGATTTAAATATCGATTCAATTTTTTTTTTTTTTTTGCTGTTTGGTTAAATATGAGTAATATTTAAAATTACATTTCAGGGGTTATACGATTTGTATGCGGCTATTGTTGAAAAATATCCAGATCAATCAGTAACACAAGATTTGACACAACTCTATTTCGATTCACTAGGTTATTCACCATTATATACCGACATGGTAACTCTATATTTAAACGGTATGTTGAAAAATCTCTATTGGCGTAAATAATGGAGGGGAGGGGGCAAAAGAAGCTTAAAAATTTTAAAAACTCTTAAAGCATCATTAAATTTCAATAAAAATTAATTGGGGTTGTTCCTGATTGATAGCTAACATTTTTTTAGAGCTTAAACGAGTTTAAAAGGATTTTACCTTTTTTAGCTCCACCTCTAGTTACGCAAATGAAAAACACAGCAAACTTTCAATAACATTTTTTAAATTTAGTTATTGGTCGAATATATTGACTTAAGCGGGACTAACACTAGCTAAGAAACAAGAGCCGTACTTTGGCTTCCTCGAGAGTTGCGGTCTTTATTGCAATACACTTATTGTTAAAGAATACTTAATGTTAATTAACTTAAGCTAACGAAAGAATATTTTAATATTTAATAGAAAAAACAATATCATTAATAAATAAATTAAATAATAATGGGAGAGATGATCTCTGTGTGGGACCCTTGTAAAGAATGGGCCAACGAAACCAATTATTATTTGTTTTTATTTTTTAATGTTATTGTTTAACTATAACTTAATTATATTATATTATTCCTCGCTTCTACTACAGCTTCTTAACTCTACATTTACTTTTCATTGTAGACATAATTTTTTTTTATATTTTAATCTGTACATTATTTTTGATATGCTGACGTATACTTGATAGAAAATGGTTCAGTGGTTTTTGGTTTAGTCAGGCGCGGATTCAGGAGGGGGGCGGTAGGGGCGGCTGCCCTCCCACCCCCACGTTGGCTATATCACAGTATTTGCTATTTTAATTTTGGGGCAGAGCTTTTGTTTTTTATTGTTCATAAATCAATTTTATGTAATATTACAAATAAAATCTCTATCAGAGTGAACGCAGACTAATATTCACACCGGCGGCCGAGGACCGCCATGTGTCTTCTTTTTTTTTTTTTGTCAAAAATAGAATCTGATTTTGTATTGTTTTGTCTACAAATATTATTAATTATCTTGTACCTGTCACTAGCTGCACAACCCGTAGGATTCAATACTTCAATAGGTCCTAATGTCTTATTGGATACTTCTTACTACTGAAACGTTTCTTTGAATTTTGATACACACTTAAAAAATTATTATACGTTATTGATTGTCGGAAGAAAGATTAAACGGACTGGCTTTATTGCACGCTCACCGCGATATTGTAATTGACCATGATGAAGTAATCGATATATTTGCCCAATCCAACAGAAAGCTGGATTTTATTATTTAACTATTTTTAAAAATGTTTTATTATACATGCGTATAAATTCGGTATCTTATATTTTGGTTACTTGTTGTTTTTTTCGTTTTTCAATAAAAATATTCGATGTACTTTAAAATAATATAGTGTACCACAAATTTTTCCAATAAAAAAAAAAGTATAATTATTATGCGTTTATATATATATACTTATAAATGCATTGCTAAACCGCCCCTCCCATTAACGTAAGCTGGATCCACGCCTGGGTTCAGTAGTCAAAGAACTAGGCTGTAAACAACGAAATTTACATGGTTTAAATGGGCAAACTGTGCTACTACAAAATATTTTGATTATAAAACTTTTATTAGTTACTATTGTATTATATAGTAACTGTACTAAAAGTGTAACTGAAAAATGTGCAAAGGTTGACAGAAAAAGAAAAGACTAACATATTTAAAAATAGGTTTTTTAATTAAGAGAAAATCAACGTTATTCCTATTTGAATTAGAGTAATCTTTAGTCGACAAGGCAATTCCATCATTTTTAAAAAACAGTCTCTTTCTTTATCAGACAACCTTTGTATATTTAAAAACTATATATACTTTGACAAATAAAATTCTTGATTTAGCTTTTAGCTAAAGGTATTACCATTAAAAACTTTTTAAAAAATCCATTGAAAGTGTGAAGCTTATGTGATATTTTATTTTAATAAGGGAATTTGTACATTTTAGATCAACCTCATACTGCAGAAGCATTTGTCAGTTGTTTGCAGCGAGGTGAGAGTGAGCTATTTTATCACACTGAGTTAAAAAAATGAAGCGAAAATTTTATCCCATCATTAACATTCACTTAACCAGTTTTTTTTTAATCTTTTGTTAAATAAAATTTCTTATTTAATTATTAATAAAAATATAAAACTAAATAAATTATCTCCCATGCCATAAAATTGTTACAACCCAATGTACAACAAATATCTTTCGGAAAAACAAATTAAACTTTTATTATGCTAATACACAATAATATTATTATTTTCTTATAAATAAGAATTTTTCTTTACTATTTAAAACGTACCTTTTTCAATTTTCTACTAAAAATCTTATTTTCGTGTAATAACCTGGACTCACTTATCTAAGCTATTAAGAATATTGTAGTTCTTCTTGACAATGAGTCGATGCAAGGAGATGGTTTTTTTAAAATAATAATCAAAAAACACTGAATACTTCTCAGATTAAATACTTTATAATGATGTTAAACAATTATAAGTGTACAAATAAAATAATAAAAACGACCACTTGACTAAAAATTCGTATGTTTTTAAAAAATAATACATTGAAATATGAATATAAAGTGTAACTACAAATAAAATTTGGTTTAAATTTTATAGTTGGTTATACAAACGTATGAATTACTTAAATATAAACATTTTATAATAATATTACGTTTAGTCGTGTACGTTATCTTATAATGCATAGTTTAAATTGAATACAATATGAATAAATTGGATTCAAGTTAAAATTTAATAATGGTTACATGTATTATACGATTTTACAAAGTGTACCGGGTGTTTGGTTAACTATGGACCAGTATAAGTCAAAAACTTAGAAGATATTTAACTTTTTTAAAATATTTTTTAAAATTATTTTATGGTTATTAGTTAGGACAAATCTAATATATTTTTGAAAAATATAACCCCAACCCTTATATGTTAAAACCGTATAAACTTGAGTTTTTTAAATAGTAACGTTTAATTAACTTTTTGAATTATGAACTTCAAATCTATACAGATGGCCTTAATTGAAGCAAATGGAAAAGTTAGTTGTCGTTTCACCCTAAATGACTTACGTGATTTTGAAACTACTCAGAAATATACGAATGAAGCCAGCCGGGTTTCAAAATCACTTCTAATATTAGTCACTTAAGCATTCGCATGTGTACGTATGTACGTAACTGGAAATCTATGTTGTATATTCACTTTTTGCAAATAAGAGTTCTATTTCAGACAAATTTTCAACTAAAAGGTCCTAAAAACCCAAAAAACAACTTGCATCCCACCGCAAGGGGTGGGAAATGGGTCTAACTTAAATTTAAATATCAATTAAATATTCCTTTCTAGAAATTTCCACTCGATTCGACCATTTTTCTCGAAATTATAGCCAGTAAAAGTTGAAACTCAAAAACTAGTATGGTATTTTTTTAAATTTTAACTGTAAAAAAATGAACTTTTTCCATTTTTACTCCCTTAAAGTTGCCAACTAGATAACATTTGCGATTTATAGAGTTGCTACTCGAAGGAATTGATTCAGTATGAAAAAAGTTACAGTGCATACATGGACACAAAAAAAACCTACATCATAATGCAAATATATTTCAGATAACAGCTGTTGACCCTTAATCATTGCAAATTACAAACTTGCAACTATAAAAACGAAAGTTCTAAGGAAAAACAACTTTTTTTTTTAATTAGTCAAAACTTGACTATAGCTATAATCCCGAAAGTCTTTTCATATGCTTCTAATCGCCAGTAGTTAGAATCACGTGTCTTAAAAATGTACTAATTAATGCTTAATTTAAAAAAATATTCCATCTCGTAGTGTTAATAAAATAGATAATGAAGTATACAATTGTGACTAGCCAAAAAATACTTGTTTTCACCGAGATGTACCCACTTTTCTTGCGCAGGCAAAAAAAACAAATTTTTTGAATCTGTCTACAAATTATATCCATATTTATCAGACAATAACTGAATATTTATTACTGTAATTATTTTCTGCGAGTTTCTGGAAAAACGGGAGGAATTTAATTTAAAACTTTGAAAACATAAAAAAACCTATAATTAGTATCATTTTGTCCTAAATTTTGATTTTGCGGTTTGATAATCAAACAAACCAAATACTGTTACTTTTAAAATGTCCATAGTGTTTAAAACATTTACTTAAATAGCAACAATTGTGATAAAAATAAGTCCAGTCACTAAAGCTCATTCACAGAGCAACCTAATAACAAAAACAATTCCTGGTTGATAAAATCACTTTGGGAAAAAATGCATAAAATTGTTAACGTGATATTACCGCCGATAGTACATTTTATATATTAAAAAAAAATAGGTATTGATAAAAGACCTGTAAAGACAATGCACTTAAAATTAACCTATAACAATTGCATATAATTAGTAGGAATCATGTCGCACCCTTGGAGCAAGACTGCCACAACTCAAATTCTGAGGAAATACAACTTAAAGATTCAACCAGCTTTCAAATGGTTAATTTTAACTTTAAAAGCTTTAATTTTAATACTTTTCAATTATTTTTTTGTTACCCGGTGCTTGTTATTTTAATTTCATGCTACTTAGTTAAATCTCAGCCAGACACCACAATTTGAGGTTACGGCTATTTAACAATAGGGTTTAACAAACCAAAATGCCAAAATTTTTTTGTTGTGCCAGTTTACCATTTAAAATTTTTAAAAGTCGTAATGAGAAATGTGTCAATTTTGTTTTTCTTTTTAGATTATTAATATATTGCTACAAGACAAAATGTGTTAGTTAGTTATTATTTCACCAGTGTCATCTGGTTAAGAATTATTATCAAGTTGAAAGTTAAAACGTCTCAAATCGAAATGAGACAGTCTTGATTTACTATGCTTATGTATAAAAAACTGTAGCAGTATTATATTTTTTTCAACCTAAAAAACCAAGAAATGTATTACAGAAACGTTGGTTAGGTTAGGTTAGGTTGTCTGGCCGGACACGAGGGCATTTGTTCCCTTAACCTTTTTTTTTTTCATCTACCTATTAAATTATGATAAAGACAATTTTGATCGATATACCATTGCATAAAAAAAAAATGTAGATTGTAAATTTTACAATTTGCACGCCATGAAATAAAAAAACTTTTTAGACCCTTAGGAAAAGTTTTATGTCTTTCCGGTCGTTATTTTGCTGAATTAATTTCTTATTACTACATTTTGCACATCGAGAAAGAAAAGAAAATGATAAATCGTTGTAAAGCAAACATCCAATATATTAATACACGAGTAGTTTCGAGTATATTACGAAAACATGTTTATCTACTATTTTCGATAAATCAAAATACAGCAGAAAAAATAATATTTCACTCCATCCTTCATGCCGTCCTTAATTTTAATGTTTAATAACTCCCAAAGTAATTAGCCAAAACTGGTTATCGACCGGTATACTATACAGAAAATAGTTCTCAGTTTAAATAGTAAATTAAATATGTACACAAGTTACTATTTAAGTTTTTAATAGTTGATAGGCTTATGGAAAATAATAAAAAAAAAGGTTAATGTCTAGTATTTTCATAATATTGTAAAATATGATAACCAAAAATGTTTTCAAAAAAGAAATACTACAAAATTGCAATTATTCTAAAGCGTACTCATTCCGTCTTTAAACCACGACGAAAACATTCGGTTTGAGTTCAGTACAACTTTTTTTATCAATTTTACAAATACTATTGCTGCTTCGTGTTCCGCTCAATTTGAAAATATTTAAAACGGCAGAGAACGTAAAAGATGGTGGACAATTTTCATCAAATTAGGGGTTCCGTTTTAGGCCAATACGAACCAATAAGTCATTAATGATAAGACCATTGCATAGGTGTATAAATTATTTTAATAATTGGTAGAGAGTGAGGATTTTGTATAATTTCGCACATTGGCGCATGTGTTTCAAAAGTTACACCGAGTTCAAAAGTAAATAAAGATTTATATGTACGATTTACAATGGAAGTATTATTTATCGAATTCTCGCCTAAGCATTTACTCGAAAACACAATATTTTTACTATAGAAAAACACTTGGGTTGTTCGATGTGCGTTCCCATTTCCACTGTTTACATAAATTGAAATAAGCGAATCGACAAATTCAAGGGCCTAAGAAATTCATGGTCAACCCGACTTATTGACGATTTTCTTGAATAATAAAAAAAAAACAATTTACATGAATAGTTTTTGGTGTTTTTTGTAATACAATGTTACTTCAAGGTCATTGTGATTTTTCCCCCTTCGGTAAGAGGATTTTAGGGAGGGGTGATTTTGCAATATCTTATAGCAACTTGCATGAATAATAAATTTAGACATTTATGTTAATCTATTTTTGGTTTTTTAGTAGAATAGAATTTGATTGGACTTTGAAGTTTATAATATAAATTAAAAGAGCCGTAGTTTTTTAACAAGTTGGATTATTATTATTTTTACTTTTATAATATACTTTTATAATAGTCGCGTTTGCATTAATCGAAGTAATTGTTAAACGCCAAAGCAGTTCACTAAACTGCCTTAATCTACTATGCAAGGTTCCACTCGAAACCAACTCGTTTACAACCACTCTACTAGTAAACAAAATATTATGATACCGACCGTTGGGTCCTAACCTAATCCAACACGGGTCGATGTTACCAACCGACAGTTATTAGCGTCTGTTCGTTTCTCACATCTGGTACACCATGTTTGTAATTAGTCCAGTATTAAAATAGTAACAGTGTATACAGATAAAAAAAGGCCCACGTCAGAGTAAAACCAATACCTTCGCCGTTCAGCATCGAAGCTAACACTGAGTTGGGAGGGGTCTAAAAATTAAAAATTTTGAAAAATTGAGATCACATTTCTTATCAAGCCCTATAAGATATTGAGTGGCTCATGATAAAAAAAATCACCCTGTATATATATATATATATATATTGATGTCATGGAATGTTTAATAAATATAATATGTATGGCGTTGCAATACACAAATTTCTAACCGTTTTTTGTAAACTAAAAAAAAAACACAACATCGATATGTTTGTACGGTTTTTATACAACAAATGTACTTGTGTACTTGTTTATATGCTTGTGCAAATATGCAATTTAAAAGCCACACCTAAAAAATTCAATAGTCATCAAATTTGTTATGTACTCGTTTAACTGTATTTTTTTTTTCCAACGCCCTATAAAACAGGCATTCAAAGGTGGTAAAATTCATTCGTTCTGTCTGAAAGTTTAACCTCAGCTTTTAACTCAAAGAATTACACGATGATTTTCAAGTTGTCTATTGTAGTAATATATTTTATCGTAGCTGCTAGCTGTATGGACACCCAAACTGAACGTCCACCGAAATCTCCCGAAGAGGTAAC